GTGTCATATTTTAGTGAGAAGTTGAACGACACCCGAAGGAGATATTCAACTTATGACAAAGAGTTTTACGCTCTTGTACGATCTCTTGAGCATTGGAGGCATTATTTGATTAGCAAGGAGTTTATACTCCATTCTGATCATGAAGCGCTGAAGTACATCCAAGGGCAACATAAACTCCGACCCCGTCATGCCAAATGGGTCGAATTCATCCAAACCTTCACCTTCTCCATAAAACACAAGAGCGGAACCCTGAACAAAGGCGCTGACGCCTTATCCCGGCGACATTTATTACTAACGGTACTTAGTACCAAACTTGTTGGCTTTGAAATGTTGCAGGGATTGTACAAAGATGATGAAGATTTCAAGGAGGCATACCATAAGTGTCTCACACGGCCCTCTGGTAGCTTCCTCATTAAAGACGGTTTTCTGTTTCGTGGCAACCAACTATGTATCCCCTAAATGTAGTTTGCGCGAAACAATAATCGAGGAAGTTCATGGCGGGTCTTTGGCTGGTCATTTCGGGATGGATAAAACTTATATGATGCTTCAAGAGCATTATTACTGGCCAAAGATGGAAAGAGACACCGAACATTTCATTCGGCGTTGTACTACTTGTCAACTCGCCAAAAGCCACTCCAAAGCCACACAAGGAATGCATATGCCGCTGCCTGTCCCACAAGCTCCCTGGGAAGACGTGAGTCTAGATTTCATCACCGGTTTGCCACGAACGCAGCGAGCAAAGGATTCAATCATGGTGGTGGTTGATCGATTTTCAAAGATGGCACACTTTGTTCCGTGCCTAACAACTCATGATGCTTCACAAATTGCAGATTTATACTTTAGGGATATTGTCAAACTTCATGGCATTCCCCGAAGTATGGTTTCCGATCGAGACAGCAAATTCTTAAGTCATTTTTGGATGACTTTGTGGAGAAAAATGGGTACTAAACTCAAGTTTAGTACATCAAGCCACCCGCAAACCGATGGCCAGACGGAAGTAACAAACCGAACACTTGGTACCATCCTTCGTACCATCATCAAGAAGAACATCAAACAGTGGGAAGAATTGCTTCCTCATGCCGAATTTGCTTACAACCGCAGTCCAAGCAAAACAACAGGGGTTTCACCATTTGTTACTGTTTATGGTGTTAATCCCCTTACCCCACTTGATCTTAATCCAATTTTAACAGATACAAAGTACAGTTGGGAAGCGGAGAGACGAGCACAAGAGATACAAGATATTCACAACAAGGTCCGCGCAAAAATTGAGAAAATGAATGAGCGTGTCAGTGAAAAGATCAACAAGCAACGCAAGAAGATGGATTTCCAGCCCGGAGATCTTGTGTGGATCCACCTTAGAAAAGAGCATTTTCCCTCAAAACGCAAGTCCAAGTTACTGCCCCGAGGAGATGGTCCGTTTGAAGTTTTAGCTAAGGTCAACGACAACGCATACAAGATAGACCTACCTGGAGACTATGGAGTTTCAGCCACGTTCAATGTCACGGATCTCAGCCCGTACTTTGAACCTGAAGATATTCCGAGTTTGAGGTCAAACTCTTCTGAAGAAGGGGAGGATGATGTACCCCGGGATGCTCCTACAAGCACGGAGGTTACATCACAAACCATAAAACAAATCAAAGGGTTAATATCAAAGTGTTATGATCCTTTTTGGGCTGAACTCATTAACCTTTCGTACCCTAAAACCCAAACCATAACCCTGCTCCTCCAAAGCTCTTCTTGATATCAAGCCTTTCCATATCCTTCCCAAATATCCAAATTCTTTTTTTTCCATTTAATAAACAAAATAAAGTCCTTTCTCTCCTTTTTAGCCCTGAACGAGAATGAGGTCAGAAGGACAAGCCTTGTGTATTATTTCTACTTCTGTTGTTCCTTTTAATTAAAATAAAACCTCCCTTTCACTTCCCTACTTCAAACCCACGAATTTCCCAACTCTTTTACCCAAAAATCAGGCCACATTATGTTCCACAAAACAAAAACAAAATCAGGAAAA